ACTCTGGAATTCTGCAGATCGCCTTTCTTTGGAAGCAGCGGCTAGCCACAGCTCAGTTCTGCCTGTGACTAAGGAGACTTCAGGTGCCCTCTTACCTCAATGAAAGGAGTGATTATGGAAAGAAATCACCAAGGAAGGAAAGAAAGGTTACATTAATTATAGTATTTGCTAGACACCAGGCTGGGTAATTTCATATGTCCTTGTACCATCACAATAACCCCGTGAGGTAAACACTATCACGCTTTTTATAGAGAGGAGCCTGGAGATCTGAGAGGCTAACTAGCTCATCTAAGGACAAGCTACCAACTGGCTGAGTTGGAAAGCAAACCCACATCTGTCTGACATTGAAGTCCATTACCTTTCTCTGAATGGCCTCAGTGTCCCCTTTGTAGGTCCCCTTCCCGAGGAGCTAGTCATGAGGTTTGTGTCCCAGGGGGACGGGTGCAAGCCTGAACCTGTGAGTTCTTGCCTGGACGAGCAGACACCCAGAAAGCCCTGTCTGCGGTCACTCTGGTCTGACCCTTTGCTCAGCATGTTCTTACAACGCAACAGGGAGGCCTCAGTCTCCTAGGTTCCTCTGGAAACACACAATTCTCAACTTGTTGAAAACGTAATTTTCATTCAGTTGTCTGGAACTGAGTTTTATATAAAGTTTGAAAACTAAAGTTGGAGTTTTTTATTTTGTTTTATTGTATGGAAAAGTTGCAGAGAGTACCGAGTTGCCCCATTTTCCTCCTTCAGTTTCCTAATGTTGCTGTTCGAGGTAACCTGGGACGTTTGTTAAAACTCAGAAACCAGCACTGACTACACGACAGACTTTGTACAGATTTCACCAGTTTTCCCATCCATGTTCTTCTCCCCCCTCCTGCCAACATCCAGACTAGGATATCCTGTTCCGTTTAGTCATCCGGGATTCTTAATCTACTCCAGTCTGACATGTTTCTCAGTCTTCTCCTGTTTGTTTGTGGCCTGGAGAGTTTTGAGGATTACTGTGTAGGCATTTTGTAAAATGTCCCCACCCCACCAATCGGGTGTGTCTGACATTTGTCTTGTGGTTGGACAGGCATCATGGGCCCTTGGCGAGGGTGAGCATGCTTCTCATCAAGTCTCCTCAGGGGTAAGCGGTCTCACCATGACTTATCGCTGGTCACGTGACCCTCATGGCTGGGTGAAGGTGGTATCTGCCAGGTTTCTCCGCTCTCCCGTTATTCTAGTTCCCTTTCAAGACTTTCCTGGTTAGGAGTCATTAAGTTCAGCTCACTCTGAAGGGAAGGCGCATTAAGCCCTGCCTCATACAGGGTCTCCCAAATCTTGTCTACTGTGCTTACCTCTTCCCAAATCTTTGTACTGGTGGAGGCAGACAAAAAGACTTCCTCACTCCCCCATCTGCCAGTTGCCCGCACTGCTGCATGCCCACCCCACCCACGCTGTCCACCCCTGCAGTACTGCTGACGCTCAGTCTCCTTCCTCAAGGAGCGATCATGCTGTGTGCGGCCAGAGCACATTCCTCCAGCCCTTTCCAGTACCTGAAGTCTAGGACCCAAGATGGGTACCGACCCAGGGAGCCAGAACCCCACCTCCTTAAAAGGTGGTGGTGAAAGAAGCTGGGAAGAGTTTGAATATACTTGTTGTATGTATACCCACAATTTTTGTTCCCGTTACACATGTTTGTTAAAAGCATAATCTCAGTTTCTGAGATTCTGGACTCGCATGGTGCCTTAAGGAAGAGAAGAATTAATTTGCCCAGGTCAACCCCTGCCAGCACGGAGTTGCCCTGACGCCTTCTGGGGGCAGTGCACAATTCCAGGAAGCCTAGACAAGGGCCGCCTGTGCGTGGGAGTGCACAGTGAGCTAGTCCCTGGGACAAGTCCCAAGTACACTATGGAAGGAGATGTACTTAGTCTTGCAACTTGGTGGGGGAGAGCATTTCTAGGGGGAAAGTTTCAGACCTGAGTCTTGGAAATCGGAGCCTTGCAGCTACCTCTTTCGCCTTTACTTGGCTTTTTGTGCCTTGGCCAGCCTTCTTCCATAATCTCCAACCCTTCCTCCTGCAAGCTCACTGCTGTCTCAGCTCTGAGACACTCCTGGCTGCCTATACTTCTCTCCGTTCTGTCATGATGGCCACGAGGAACCATCTTTGGTGTGGATCCTAGAGGCCAGGCCTGGGAAAGGACCTCGTTAGCCCTTACTCCAGACTATTGCCAGCAGTAACATTAACTAGAACTTTTGTTCTCAGTATTTCTTTGATTTTGAAATAAAATAAGAGGGTGACATGAAAAACAGAATAGGAACCAGAGCTACTGCACTCTAAGCAATGCAAAGTACATTATTTTAATAAACTCCAGAAGTCAAAACTGAGTTTTTATGTTTTGCATAGGAAGTATCACATTTTTCGAAACTACTCTAGACAATTTAATTTTCTTTGCCAACACACTGTATCTCTCATGATGAAAGGAAGTAAAAAATACCTATTATTTTGAAATAAGATGTGTTTGAAAAAAAGACAAACTTGTGCGGCAATTGCTAGATATTTTTTAGGCAAGCATTTTTCTTACTGGAATTAACTAAATTATCTCAATTCTCCACGTGGTTCAGGCTTTCTTAATACCAGTAACAAAGTAGTCTGTGAAGAAACATTCTTATTTATGGGAGTTTATTTTTTTCTCCTTCCCTCCCTCCCTCCCTCCCTCCCTCCCTCCCTCCCTCCCTCCCTCCCTCCCTCCCTCCCTCCCTCCCTCCCTCCCTCCCTCCCTCCCTTTCCTCCCTCCTTGGCCAGAATAGGCTTTCTGGATACATGTCACTTGACTCTCACACTTCGTTTGCAGTTCACTGCCCAGAACCTAGAGCGCAACAGGGCAGGGTGGCCGACAAGGGGTAGCTATGTCTGCTGTCAAGAAGTCACCTTAGAAACCTGGTTTTTATTTTTCTGGGACTGGCCTCTTTCATTTGGCATAACACTCCCCAGGTTCATCTATGCTGTTTGTGGAAGGCAAGATTCCCTTCTTTTTATAGCCCAGTAGTACTCCATGGTACAAATGTATCGCAGCTTTTTTTTATCCGTTCATGTACTGATGGGCACTTGGGCTGCTCCCATATCTTGGCTATTGTAAATAACACTGCAATGAACCAATGTCACACCAATAAATTCAATAAAATGTTTTTTAAAAGATGAGAAACCCTGCTCTTAGAGAATACATGTCTCATCCAGGTTTTCTGGCTTGTGGCAGATTGTGACCTACTCTGTGTCTCCACAGCCACGACCAGCACCTTGAGGCACCAGGTCCTGCATCTGAGTGGAAAGAGTACACAGGCGTCCTCCCTGGAAGCGGGGCTGCACATGCTCACTCCCATGTCCTGCACCTGGTACACTGCCTGGCACATAATGAGCATGTTATCTTAATCTGAATGAGGGGAAATCTGTCCCACAGCCCATGAAATTCTTAGCAGCCCAGCTGAGGTCCAGAGAGGGTGGCAGTTTGTCTGCAGCTTCACAGAGCGCCCAAGGCCACGCTGGGGCCGGATGCTGGAGCTCCTGACCCCTCCTTGTGCAGAACACTTCCCACTACACTGCCGCTGCCTTCCCAAGAAGCTAGCCTGGCCTTCCTCCTCCTTTCTCATCTAATTCTTCTTGCTCCCCACTTGCTCAGATTCATGTCTAGCCTGCTTTGACTGCTATATTTTTTGTTTTGTGTTGCATTTTCTGTGTAGCAACACAAACTTAGCAGCTTCAGAGCACATACGTGTATTGTATCGCAGTCTCTGTGGCTCCAGAAGTTCAGGCACAGCCTACGTGGGCCCTGTCTGCAAGGTTTTGGAAACTGTGGTGAGGATGTTGGCTGAGCTCTTCCTTCCGTGGAGCTCAGAGTACTCTTTCAAACTCAATGGTTGTTGGAAGAATTCAGTTCCTTACAGTTGTGGGACCAAGGTTTTCTTACTGGTTGTCAATTGCGAGCACACTTCAGCATCTAGAGGTTTTGTGCAGTTTATCACCATGTGGCAGCGGGACTCTTCAGGGACAGCAGGAAGGCCCAGTCCCTTGCCCCAGACTTCAACTGATTGAGTCAGGCCCACCCAGAATGATCTCCTTTGGAAAAACTCAACCTTGCATAATTTGGGATCTTAATTACATCTGCCAAAGCCCATCATCTTTACCACATAATGTAAGCACAGAAGTGCCATCCCATTTTGTTCACAGTCCCATTGCAGCTCAAAGATTATTCGGGGTGGAAATCACGGGGGCTGTCTCAGAATTTAGTCTACCACAGACACATCTGCGTGGGGCTGGTCCCAGGGAAGTTGGAATCTGGATGATAAATGAAGCTTCTCTTATGTTTCTTGATATCTGTACTTATATATATATATTTCACTTCTTGCAGCTCATCTTCTTCCTCATCTCCTTCCTCTGCAACCTCGATGTGAGATATATGCTAAGTCAAATGCATGAGAGTAGCTGGTCATCAGGGCAGGGGACTTTGAAGACCCCGATTAACAAGAACGTCTTCTCTACCTGACCTACACATATATTTTTTATTTGGCACTTAATATAATGTTTTAGCTCTCTGGTTGTTTTCTGCCCCCAAACTTCCTCTACTTCTCTCTTTGGTAATGAAATATATTTTACATTTTTGTGTTTGTTTGACTTTTGTGCTTATATTATTAGCTGATGTCTAGATGTCGGCCTGTGAGCCCAGAGAAGGAAACTTGGTGTTTGCGTTGCTGTTCCAGGTCTTTGGGTCTAGGCTCAGAGTTCACTCACGTGGATGCAAATGCAAAGGGGAATCATAGCTTCTATACTCTGTTCCTGGTCACAGCTGGTCAGTGTCTGCTTGAGGACAGGCTGCAGAAGGGCAAGGCCAAATCCACATTTTTGTGGTGAGAAAATTCACCGTGAGTGTGGTGTCACGCTCAGGGGTCCTGAAGCCCCAGCTGGAGCTGCAGGCATTCCTCAGCACAGGAGCAGGGCGCTTCCTGAGACAACCAAGAGGACTCCCTCCGCAGCTATGTGGACTGCTGTCCTAGGGCTGCTCATGCTGGTGGCTGTGGTGGAGTTCCTCATTGGCCTGGTTGGAAACGGAGTCCTTGTGGTCTGGAGCCTTCGAGAATGGATCAGAAAATCTAAGGGGCTCTCCTACCACCTCATCATCCTGGGCCTGGCTGGCTGCCGATTTCTCCTGCAGTGCCTGATTATGGTGGACTTAATCCTGTGTCCGTTCTTCCAGAACAGCCCTGGGCTTCACTCTCTCAATGTCTTCTGGGTTGTGGTAAGCCAGGCTAGCCTGTGGTTTGCCACTGTCCTCAGTGTCTTCTACTGCAAGAAGATCACGACCTTCGAACACCGCGTCTACCTGTGGCTGAAGCGGAGAGCTTATTGCCTGAGTGGCTGGTGCATTTTAGGAGGTCTCATGATCAATATATTACTTGTAGCCCACATTGGCTCAGAGTTCTACAGTCCTTCCCAAAGAAACAGTAGCATTCTGTACCACATTTCAAACTGGCACTACCAGCGTATAATGAATTTCAATTCGGGAAATGCGTTGCCTTTTGCATTGTTTCTTATTTCCTCTGGGATGCTGATTGTCTCTTTGTATAGACACCACAGGATGATGAAGGTCCACACCGCTGGCAGGAGTGATGCTCGGGCCAAGGCTCACATCACTGTCCTGAAGTCCTTGGTCTGCTTCCTTATACTTTACGTGGTTTACTTCGTGGTCAGCCCCTACTCCATCACCTCTAAGGCCCCTCCTGCTGATCTCTTCACCGTCTTCATCTCGGAGATACTCATGGCTGCCTATCCTTCTCTGCATTCTGTCATAATAATCATGGGGAATCCCAGGGTGAAGGGGGCTTGTCGGAAGACCCTGCGGAAGACAGTGTGTGCCTGGCGGTCCTGAGGCCTGCACGCCCAAGGGAGAAGAGTGGTTGGGGTATCAGACAGTCTTTGGACAGCTCTCTATGGGGGCGTTGACTCTTACAGCTTCTGAAGTTTTCCTTCTTTGACAGAAACGGGCAACAGGAATCGTAGACTAAAAATACTGTCTCTCTCTTGACAATGTAGAGTACATTATTTTAACATTATGGAAATCAGCGCTGGGGCTTTAGGTTTGATAAAAGGGGTGTTATAGTCTGTGTACAAATAATAAATAATACATTTCTTTTTAAATTACATATGTAAGTCACATTTTTTCTGTTGTAGGAAACAGAGCTGAGGGACAGTAAGATGAATTTTTGTGAACTTTCGTCTATCCCTTAATGTCAAGCATTTTGGATAAGCTTTAAAAGAATATGTATCTAATTTTCTTTTGCCATTTCTTTAACATAGTAGGTGTAGTTATCTAACTAAAAAACAAAATAAAACATCTTTATTATTTCAGGACATTTCTTTGAGCCCTAGAAGTCACTTGGCTCCCTTGATTGATACGAAGCTTCACAGCCTAAACCTGGAGTGGGGCAAGAAAGGAGTGAGGGTCATTTGCTTCTGCTCTTAAAAAGAACACCTCTCCTAGACGAGGTTAAGCCCCTCATCTTTTGTGGTCATTTAGCCTCCCTGAGGGTCCACTCGGGCCTCCCCACAGCCCTAATTCAGAGTTTTTAAGCTGGATAGCACCCTGGGGCAGACAGACAGCACCCTGGGGGCAGATGACAAGCAGCAGGAGCTGTGTCTGTTTTTGATACATCCTAGGTTTGGAGTGCTGGGACCCCTATCTCAAATGCAGCTTCCGGACTCCTGGTGTGGGGCTCTGTCCTTGACATCGTCCTGCCTTCCTAACGACCTAGCTTCGCCGTACCTTCCTCCGAATCCCATCCATCTTCTGTGTGCTTTTTTAGCCTCAGTTTTTAGCCTTGTATTAACACATTGCTTTTGGTTCAGTTCTAGGGCATCTGGAATCTAATGGACAATACCTAAGATGCTTAAAGTCTTTTTCCACTTCCTACACATCATGCTACTCTACTTTCATTAATTTATTTTCTCTAACGTGTCTTGCCCTTGCTGAAAGTTGTGAACTGCGGTACGTGGTAGCCACGTGTGGGTGTTTGTCACTGAGGGGAGAGCTGGCTCCGCCAACGTCACAGCGAGTTGTTGCAGTCAAGCACTGTCTTTTGTTCTCTGGGAGTGATAGTCCGTTCTCCTCAAGTAGAGAGCAGCCTCTCCTTGGTCATGTTTTTAGCAGCAGCGTGAATTTTTCATTATGCCATGGCCATGTTTAGCCAGATGTTCTTTGTGACCAACCGTTGTAATGGCAGTTATAGCACCTAACATTTCTGCGGGGGGGGGGTTACATTTTATCAAGTATTCTTACATATAGTCCACCATTCCATTAGATTTTAATAGCAACTCTGTGCAGTTAGCTATTCTAACTCCATTTTACAGAACTTAGGCTGGAGTGATAATTTGCTTAAGATCATCAACTGTCAACTGGTGAAAGTGCAGATAAAAGAGTGACAGATGTTTGGGCTCCCAAGTCTCATGGCTGTCCAGTAAACCTGGAGTCCCTCTTGTTCAGACTTCATGCTAGCAGGCCTTGTAGGAATTTATGCTAGCAGGCCAGTAGAGTATTCAAGTTGATGAGTATTTTTAAACAGATGAAATCAGCAGCAAATCCTGCAAGTCTGGTGTTGGTGGGATGCATCGGAGCACGATCCAAACTCACAACAATCTGATGTTTCTACGACTCGCTTTTCTGAGGGACAAAACCCTAGTGTTTTCCCAGTCACCTTTTGGGATTAGATTTCCTTCCGTCTCTGCACATGATTTAGCTCATGATGGGTATGAGGTTGCTTTGTGTTTTATCCAAAAAAACAAATCTGGAGGCAAATCTGTGTTCTTGAACTGATTCCTATGTAATTAAACCTTCTGTAGTTTGCATTCTGAGAGCCGCAGCTGGATCCGTGTGCACGTGCATGCGTGTGTGCTCGTGTGTGTAGATATCACTAGCCCTCCTTTTTGTTATGGGGAGTGACCGTGTAGCCCAGAGGAGGACTCAGAGGGATTGAAATGGTACAGAAAGATAGAAAATGAACTGCAGCATGTGCCTCTTTCTCTCTCTTGTTAGTTTCACTGACCAAATGTAGTCAAATTTCCCATTTGTTTTAGTTCTTCTAGTGATTATTTTCACAACTCTAATTAAGGTTTGCCCCTCTTACTCATTTTATCACATTTGAACTATAACTTCTGAATCCCATTCATTAAAGTTTGGGGATTATCTCAACCCCAAATCTGTTCCCCTCTCCAACATTTGACTAGTTTTATTTATTTGTCATTCCACCAGTCATTAATTTTTAAACTTTAAATAATATGCTTTTCAACTTAGTTTTTGAACCATAACTTATGGCAGTATCTAGGGAATCTTAATTAAAGTAGAAGGAGGAAGTTAGTGTTTCAACTCCTGTACTTCTCCCAGGACTCAACTCATTGTTCAGCTCCATGTAGCTTAAGGAAGAGATCAGTCTGCTGGAAGAAAAGTGGCTTTCATCAAGGATCAGGGAAAGGCTGCAGAGTCAGTGTCAAAATGGCAACCAAGATGGTTTAAACAACCGAGAACACAACTAAGTTACTCGACAGGACTGGCGCTGGCACCACCCCCCACATCCCATCTGTCAGCACTGTATCCTCACCCTGCCACCGTCTCTGAAAATATGTCCCTTTCGGGCATAGCTCCAAGGTCCCAAATCCCGGTGAAGAGCCTCTGGGTGGCTGATTCCAGCTCACACTCCTGCCCAGAGGACAGGTCTTGGGGTGGAGGGGAAGGAAAAGTCTGATTCCCCTTTGGCTTCTGAGCGATGTCACCACAATGTTCATAGCAGCACAATTTACAATAGCCAAGAGTTGGAAGCAACCTAGGTGCCCATCAGTAAATGAACGGATCAAAAAATTGTGGTACATATACACAATGGAATTCTATGCAGCAGAAAGAAGGAGCTACTACCTTTTGCAACAACATGGATGGAACTGGAAAGCATTATGCTGAGTGAAATAGGCCAGGTGCTGAAAGACAAATACCATATGATCTCACCTTTAACAGGAAGCTAAACAACAAAACAAACAAGCAAGCAGAAAAAAAAAAAAAAAGACACTGAAATAGAGAACAAGGGGACAGTGACCAGAGGGGAGAGGAAAGGGAAGTTAAGGGGAAAAAGGGGGAGGGATTTGGAGGAACAAATAGGAAGGACACAGGGACGAGAACTAAGGGGGGTGGAAATGGGAGGGAGGTGAGGAGCAAGGGGTGGGGGAGGCTGGGATGGGAGAAATAGACAAAAAAAACTGTACTTGAAAAATAACTAAATAAAATTTAAAAAATAAATAAATTAGATGCAATAAAGTACTCATCAACTAGCTTAAGCAGCAGAATCAATACAGCTGATGGTGAATTAATGAACAGGAAAGTCGGCCCAAAGACCTCTCTTAGAAGGTACGGGGATGCAACAGAAAGATGGAAAATGTAAAAGAAAAGAAGCTATGCGATGCACAGAAATAACAGGGTAGAGTCAGAGAGCTGCAGCGCAGGGCTGTTCGGGAGCAGGAGGGAAGCAACACCTCCATCAAAGGAACGCTCTCTGGCAGCCATTCCGACAGGGAGGGACGCTGACAAAAAATTAAAGAGGAGAAAGCAAGTTTCTTCAGAAAAACATATAAAGAAGCAAATTCTGGCGAAAGCTCAAGAGCCCTGTCACTGTCTAAGGCATACCCTCAGCAGCAGAGTTGGCAGCATGTTTCAGACTGAGGAAAGGACGTATGCCAGTGTCTGGGATTTAAAGCAAAAGTCCTGATTAACAGCAGAGAGTACTGGATGGATGCAGAAGGTGGAGTGAAACAAGGAAGAAAAGGCATTTCTTTCAATCCTGAGCGGTGGAGCCAGCAGAAGGAATAGATTTCCGACCTTGATGCTGTAGCAAGAAAACTATGAAATCAGAGCCAGATAAAACTTGTACCGTTCTAATTGTTTTAATCTGTCTTTCTACATCGGCTTTTGTTTTCTAAACATTTTCCAAGCTCTTGTATATTTGGATTGCAGAACAATTTGCAACAATATTTTTAATGTGCATTATTAAAAATGTTCGGAGTAAAGCTACTCATGAACTTCATTAAGGACAATTGCTTTGTGCCCACAACCTAGTGTAAAATAAAATCAAGTAATACAAAAGCAAAAAGAAAAGAAGGAAAGAAAGAAAGAAAGAACAGGGTGTTTGTGTAAATGGAGTCCCAGAAGGAGATGGTAAAAATGAAAAGAAGGAATAAAATATTTGAAGAATTAATGACCAAAAATTACACTGAGTTAAAGAAAGATTAAAAAAATACTAGATCAAAAGGTTCAAAGTGTGTTAAACAAGACAGATAAGTTGGGGGGGGGGACCCTTCACACTTACGCACATTATAGAAAAGTTTAAGACTCATGCAGATGGAAGGAAAGTTTCCAGAACTTTAAGAGAGAAAGAGCAGATCAAAAACCAGAGTGACATGTCTCAGCAGAAAACAGAAAAACAAGGTTTGGCATCACATTTTATTCCAGCAAATGTTTTATTCTTAGATTCAAATAACACCAAGAAGAAAAGTTTAGGAATATTTTTTTCTGGCTAAAATAAAGTATTTACTTTGCATTAATCGCAAGGAGTTAATTTTTAAAACGTCAGTGAAAGCTTAGTGGGTTGATGATTACGAGTTAGTGAGAAATTTCTGAAGCATTCTAACAATGAAAGAAAATCTCGAAACTCTGAAGACTTAGAAAGACTGTGGTGTGACTTTATGACTGAATTAAAGGGGTCGATTCTGCATGTAAATGAAGATGAGTCTAGGTGGAAAAAATCATCTAGCACAAATAATGATCAGTGCTACAAAATGTGATAGAACGAAGTAAATAGGATAAATAGACCAAAAAATTAAGCATATAGACTGAAG